CCCCAAAACCCTATTGAAATTGTTAAGGCACCTGCATTATGCTAGTAGCGTTGAGGGTTTAGGGGTCAGGGCTTAGGGTTTAGGGTGTAGGGTGGTCCCTACGGTTGATGATGCAAACCCTGCATTATCCGTAATCAGGAATATACTATAATTCCCAGAGGTCGTGGTCCTCTAAGGAAATGCAGGGTTTGTATCATCAATAGTATGACCTCAAGTCTGCTATTTCCGCCTTCGCTCTGTACATAGTGCTTCGAACCTATTTGTCATTGATGCCTTGAGCCCCACATGCTAACCTTGCAGGCATCTGACCCGAAACCCACTACTGATACTTTGGGCCCTCAACCCTGGGCCCTGGGTCTAATACCCCAAACCCTTTAATGTACTTTTAGTCTTCATTGTAGGTCTTTGTTAGGTTTGGCCAGTTTCATGTTTAGCATGCTACAAAATAGCCCGTGAGTACAGAACCCAGCTGAAGAAATCATACCTTTGCGGGTTTGCACAATTGCGAAGGCTACACTGCAATGCCGGAGGCCAACCTGCTGCGACGTTTGCCGCGTTCTCTGCAATGCCATGTCATCAATAGAAAACCTTTTGCGAACTGCCGCCTGGTTCAATAAGACCATAAGACCACATGCTCGAGTTCACGCGAACGAATATTGCCGTGCATGTTGGCAACGCTGCATCAAGCGAACAAACCTGCTTGACCAACATGGCTTGCGAAAAGTCTAGAGCGCAGCCTTGTGAAACTTGATGCCAGGTCTCTGAGCCCCCCAGCATTGCCGCACCATCTGATGAAGTGCAAACAGCAACCGCTATATAGGGTAGACGAGCCACATTGTGCGTCAGAATGGCGGTTGCTTGTCCTTGCCAAAAAGGTTGGGCAGTCTTCTCCCAAGCCGGGCCAGCAAAGCCTTAAAGCCTTAAAGTATCTTAAAGTATATACTCGATCTTCACCACTAACGGGACGGGGTACAAAAGTGGCTTCGACAGAACTTGTCAGGTCTAGAGTCTAGGGCAGAGAACTCCACGCATGCTTGCACGGTGATGGTAGCTCATAGCGCAGTTAGCGGTCACAAAGGTACTTCCGAGGATTCCAGCGAAGATGGTGCGACAGACGGTGGCAATCGGAGGGGAGGTGCAAGCAGCGACGATGGTGACAGCAGTGACAGCGACGGCAGTGATGCATGAGGAGCCGCACAAGCAGCCCGTGCACAGGGAGGGTTTCAACACTGAGACGTCTGACACTGGTTGCATTTAGCCCAAAGGCAAGAAGTTACACGGGGCAATTCGGGTTTAGGGCACCTGGGCATGCAGTTTCGTGTCAGCAATACAAAGACGTGGATGGGGGTCCAGGGAGTCTTGAATGAACATTGCGATGAATTGCAAAACTTTGAAATGAACAGAGAATCTGCCCTTTCGAAGCTCTTGACATACACCCTGCGATGGGCCGCTTTTCAGAAGCCTGAAACCCGAAGCTTTGAAACAGGAGGCCCTGGCGGCAGCAGCAGCGAAGATGTAGCTCGGACCGATCGTAGCCGTTTGCGCGTTCACTAAAGATTTCGAGTTGGGAAAGTTTAGCGGCTTGCGGTTCAGGGTTCATGACTGCCGGGTTTGCAAAATCAACGGGTCGAGAAAGGATTATGCCAGGCAACAGTGACAAGCTTAAAAATTCAGAGGATTTATGCGTACGGGGACCCAGAAGAACCGCAATGTGAAGGCTCAGTGCGGGTCCCACCACTCCACCAGTTCGCATCCAGCCGTTGTACATAGATAGATACAGACACATTAGTCAGGCCCCTTTGCGCAACCCAAAGCCCAGCACACCCGCGCCAATGCAGATGGGGTAGGTGTGTGTGTGTTTAAGTTGGATTAAAGATTTCCTTTCTGGTTTTGGTGGGTTTGAATCAATGCACATGGTCCGGTAGGTGTGGGTGGGTTTGGTGTGAGGGTTTATGTTAGCCTGATGGATTGTTGGCAACCGCTTCATGCAAACCTGCCAGAACGATGGGCCCATTGCATACAGTGAGGCGAGCTTCGCCTTCGTTACGGGTAGGGCACGCTCATTCATGATATCATTCATACCGCAACATGACGATGCCAATGTCCGCTAGACCGCACAGCCCTTCAACATCGAAAATATGCGCATAGTACGACTGCCAGCCGAACGAACCCACGACACCATTCCTTGCGATCCTGAACCTGGATTGATTCCACCGCTTAGTTGCCAAAGTAATTCTGGCATTCGGAGCGGCGTAACCTGCCTCCCAAGCTCCAACATGTGGTACTGACACACCTACAAAACCTGAACTCTGAACTGTGTTGTGGTTGCAAACACCTGCTGTTTCAGGGGTTATACCTATAATCATAGCTCACCACCGTATAGAAGCCCGGAAGCCGGGCGCGGCAGATGCTCGCAGGTCTTGTTATCAGCTGTTAACTCAGCTGCTAAGATTTAAGAAGGATACTAGGCCAAATCCAGACGTACAGCTACATCCATTACAAAGACGTCGATCAATACAACTCTACATACAGGTATACCTCAAACCCGAAACCCTCGACCCCAAACCCCCAAACGGCACACCAAATTATTTTAAAGCGTTAAACCCTAGGACCTGTACCCTAAATCCTAAACCCTACACCCTAAACCCTAAACCAGAAGCCGGTACCCGAAACCCTAAACCATATACCTTAAACCCTAAACCCTATCCTAAACTCCCTAAGCCCGAACATGAGAGCTGCTCGCGAAGGCGGAAGGGAACTCTGCCGCCGCTCACTGCGAGGCCACACGGCGCAGTCGGAGGGCACCTGTGGGTTCTGCCGTAGGGTTCAGGGCTTAAGGCCTGCCACTTTGGATTTTGTGGGTTGTTTCGGGTCTACTCTACTTTGATCTCATCTCGTCTAAGTTAGTATGATCGAACATGATATAGTAGAGTAGACTAAAAGAAAATCTAGTTCATAAAAGTGTAGTATGCTAGAAAAATATTGTGGTATTATGTGTTATTTTTTCATTGGTCCTTCTTATTGTCCAAGGCATGTTTGCTGATGACGAGTCGATTTAGGCTTCTGACCCAATCTTTATAGGGTTCTGATGGGAACTTTGAAGGTTTTATAGGGTTGTGCATCAGGGTTTTAGGGGCTGCATCATTGAAGCATGATATTCATCAAAGCCTCGTTCGAGTTCTTAAGGCCCCTACACGACGAAAGCTGTCTCGGAGTGCGTAGACTTCTATCCACAACCCTAAGTGAAACTCTAACCTCGACGCTAAACCCTAAACACCGAACCCCCAAAACCCTCATAGGACCCGGTGGAGGTAACAAGTGACGCAGTTCGGAGTATGGGTTCTAAATAACCTGCTGCTTCAAGGGTTTACGGTTCAGGGTTCAAGGTTTTAGGGTCTAAACCCTAAACCATAAATCCTAAACCCTAAACCCTAGCCTAGAGTAATGTGGAGTCTTTTCGGAAAAACAGAGCCTAGCATGTCGCGGGTTTCGGTGGATTTCGGGCTCAGAGCCATGGCTGAAGGTTAAGAGCTTATAGGATTTAGGGTTTAGGGTTTAGGGTTCGGGTCTTAGGGTTTAGGGTTTAGGGTTCGGGGATTAGGGTTTAGGGTTTAGGGTTCGGGGATTAGGGTTTTGGGTTCCGGGATTAGGGTTCCGGGATTTGGGATTAGGGTTTATAGTTTAGGGTTTAGGGTTCAGGGTTTAGGGTTTAGGGTTCACGGATTAGGGTTTAGGGATTATTTTCCCCTTAATTAAGCACTATACCTTAAATCATAATATTATGGCCCCTAAACCCTAAACCCTAAACCCTAAACCCTAAACCCTAAACCCTAAACCCTAGCCCTATATTCCTTTAGGGTTTCGGGATTGCTTAGGTTTTCTGGCTCAAGACTCAGGAGGGGCTCTGGGGCCTTACCTGTGGCCGAGAAGACCTATCTTTTTAGGTTTCCCCATTCTGGTTTCTTATATATATATATAGTTCCTTGAAAAGGTAGGTCTTTTGGGCCACAGCCCCCGAAGTGGCAATTTCTGCATCGAAGCTCCTTCGTGTGAAGCATCTTAATTTTTGCTTTCCATGTTTTGCTTAGGTCAGGGGATTTTGGGGCCCTCGTAGAACCCTTAATTCTACCTGACAAGTCCTAGTTTTGCAAGTTTGGGTTAAGCGGCATTCGAGCTCGTTGGTTGGAACCTTGAGTGACGCAGCAGTGTGAAGCGCAGGCAGATGTCGAAGCACCACCCAGGCGCAGGGAATGCTCGGACACTGTCCAAAGAGCGGTTGAAGGAGCATGCGACTTAGTAAGTAGGTCTAGCAAGTTAAGCCCCCGTGATCCCCCTGGCTTCCATTCCCCTCTTTCGAGTCCTGGTAATATAGGGGCCTAAATAATTACCTATACCCCAAGACTCCCAAAACCATATTCTAATTACTACGGCCTCTGCATTAGAGTTCTTCATCCATGTGGCACCTTCTTGGCTTCCGAACCCGGAGACCCGAGCCCCGCGTGACTTCGACCCAACACCAACCTGTACCCCCAAACCCAAAACCCCAAAACCCTACTATCTGAGCCCTAATATTTCGAATAGGGTTTGGGGTATCTTATACTATACTTATATTAAGGAACCCCCAAAACCTTTTCTAATTGTTAAGGCCCCTACATTAAACCCTGAACCAACAAACCCTAAACCCTGAACCCCTAAACCCAAAACAACACTAACGACAACTTTGTGCGTGTCAACGCAGTGAAGGGGCCACAGGATCAGGAGGCTTTCAATCTCAATAAGGTTTCAGGGTTCAGGGTTTAGGGTTTAGGGTTCAGGGTTTAGGGTTCAGGATTTAGGGTTTGGGGTTCAGGGTTTAGGGTTTAGGCTTCAGGGTTTAGGGTTCAGGGTTTACAACTCCAAACTCACGATGTCCGAACCGAAAACCCTGCCAGGAACCCGAGCCCGAAAGGCACTGAAAGCAAAAGGAGGCTCCTGGGGTAATAGGGGCCTACATAATTACCGATACTATTTTGGGGATTTCTTCTTGTAGTTGTAGTATAATGGGCCCCAAAACCCTATTCCCCATTCTAACTAGGTATAGTTGGGTGCCTCTAAAACCAACCCGAAACTGCATAGCTTCCTGCGGGAAGCTTGCGTGGCAGGCCTTCGACGCTCGGGCGTGCGCCTGAGGAATCGCAGCCTCTCCAGCGGTAGGATAAAAGGTCGCCAGCTCGGGCTTGTTTTTTTTTCCTCTGTGATTGTGTTCATCTACGGTTGTATTATGTTTTGTTCACTAAAGATTGTTCACTCGATGAGAAAGAGAGAGAGAGTGTGTGTGTGTGTGCTTGTGTATGTACATATGTATGTTCTATACACATAAATATATGTATGAGTACATACATAGATGCACATACATACGTACATACACACATACATATACATATACAGAAACATATACGTATACGTATACATACACATACACATACACATACACAGACACATACACATACACATACACACACACACATGCATACGTACATACATACATACGTACGTACATGTGTACATGTGTACATATATGCATACATTCACGAATAAATAAATATATACATATGTATGTATGTATGTATGCATGCATGCATGTATGTATATGTATGTGTATGTATATGCCGAGGTATTGGTATAGGTATGCGTGTATGTATCTCTCTCTCTCTCTCTCAGCGTCGCACAGAAGTGTCAAACTCCTTGGACGAGCGGGGGGCTCTTGCCCCGAGATGGCTGCTGTGAGCACTTACCGTCGGCCTGCACTCCCACGCTGTGATACGTGTATGTATATGTAGGTATACATGTTGGCATAGATAGCCGCACACATGTACATTCATACACACACATATATATATATATGTTTATACACACTGTGCATATAAGATACATATATATATATATATATATGTATGCATATGTAGATAGAGAGGGAGTTACGTCTATGCATATGTATATGTGTTTGAGTGTCTCTCTGCTGTTGCAGTTGGGTGTGGGTTCCAAGGCCGCTTCCTCCACCGACATCGACTGCTGTGCGTAAAAACAAACATATCAGCCGCCTTTCAAGCCCGACCCAAAGCTTCAGGTGGTACGATTAAGCTCTAATGTAGAGGCTTTGGGGGATCCTTTACAGGGTTTCTCAAAGGGTTCTATAAGGGCTACTATAAGGGTTTAGGGTTTAGGGACCTTCATAATTAGAATAGGGTTTTGGGGCCTACTGTACTATAATTATAGTAAGGAACCCCCAAAAGAATATTGGTAATAATTTAGGCTTCTATAGTAGTACAGAGGGTTTAGGGCCAATACTTGGGTCCAAACTCCCAAAACCCCAAAACCCTAAACTCCTACTATCCTATCGTTGATTTTAAACCCTAAACCCTAAACCCTAAACCCTAAACTTTCGGCTATGGCTGTCGGGCCTTCTGCATTCTTCGGCTCAAGCGGCCGCCAAGATCAGTGACCAGCGCTTAGGGTTTGGGGTTTCGGATTGATGAATCAGTGCTTATTAAGGCAAGTGGGTTTAGGGTTTAGGGTTTAGGGTTTAGGGATTAAGGCAAGTGGGTAGGTAGGGTCTAAGGGTTCAGGCTTAGTCTTGGTGATGTAGGGCGCAGATCAGCAAAGCCTAGCTGGCAAGAGCTGCAGGTATAAAGGAAGAACAGAGAAACAGACTGGCAGAACCCGGGCGCGCACACACGCACACATGTCTGAGTTTGTGTGTGTGTACACATATGTATGTATGTATGTATGTATGTATGTATGTATGTATGTATGTATATATATATATATATATCGATGTAGATACATGCAGCCGTCTGTATATACATACGCATGCGTGTATGCACGTAGCTACGAACATGATTCCTACCTCATACATGTAAGATTATGTCGTAAGGTTGATTATGTTGCACGCACACATAAACGAATGCAGGCATCAATGAAGCATTAGCTGCCCTGAAAACTACAGCCTCATTTCTGGCTGTCGCTATTGGCATCACTTGCCCGCGCTGTTTCCGGTAGCAGTGGCAGCGCAGTGGCTGCTACGGGGCTTTGGAGTACCATACTTTAATACTTTGTTTGGGACCTGTTCCTTAAAGGAACCATTATGAAATTAAAGTCTCTACCTTTTTTCTCCCTGGTTACTTCAAAGCCCAGGCTACGAACACATGTCGACGTCCAATGAAGACGAGTCGACGGACAAGCCGTTCTTGACCAGGCCGAGCACTGGTCTCTGAAACCTGAAAGCTTTATGATTAGGGTTTAGGTTTGAGGGTTTAGGGTTAGGGTTTAAGCTTCGTCATTGCTCATGCTCTTCACCTGCTTGTGCATTGTCGCCCTTGTCAACATCATCGTCGTCACCCTCCTCATCAACGTCGACTCTGCTTTCATGAGCCCATACTATCATGATATCGTCGTCATCATCATCACCATCATCATCATGTTGTTCTATGATAAGCATTCTTTTAAATCACGATATTCATCATCATTATCTCCATGGTCAGCGTCAGGACGGGTACCATCATCATCCACCACCACCACCACCACCACCACCACCACCACCACCACCACCACCCCCACCCCCGCCGCCGCCTCCCCCACCACCACACCCCCACACCGCCGCCACCACCACCGTCACCTTCAGTCACCGTCATCGGCATCATCAGTAGCACCATGATCCTACATTTTTTCACTCCGTCACCATCGCAGTCGCCACCATCACACTCAAAACCAACATCGTCCTTTAAGAGACATATAGAACAGGTCTGGGACATGCCAGTAATTGCGGAAGCACCAAGCAAGCGTTGGACCCTCTCTCTGTCGAAGACTTTAAGCTGGCTGGCATGTTCGGATGCATTTCTGTTGTCCGTTGTGCTTTTACATAGCTACCCATAGGCCCCATAGTAGTTCCTTTTTGGCATTGCCTTATAGGATTCTACATATGAACCCCAAGACAAACTACTATGGGGCCTATGGGTACCCATGCATACATGTTTTTCGGTGAGCGGTTAATTCCGCCCGGCACGCCCATTGAGCAGAACAGTGATCTCAAGCCCGCAGCAACTTAAATCCTAAGCCCCTCGGCCCTGCAACCGCATCGTTACGGTTGATGGTATAAATCCTGCATTACCCAGAATATGGAGTATACCATAATTCCCATAGTTTAGGGCCCTTAAGATCAGGATTTATATCATCAACCGTAGTATGTGAACTTCTTCATGTCAGGGAGCCTTGAAGGGTTGACAGGCTTCCAGGAATTTCTGGCTTGAGGTTTTGTGTCTGGAGGTTCAGGATGTAGTTAATATAGAAGCCTAAAGAATGAGCTATACTATTTCGGGCGTTCCTTGTTATAATTATAGTAGAATCTAGCCCAAAACCCTGGTCTAATGCCTGCATTCGGGCTGGGGCTTGAGTCGAGGATCGCGAAATAGCACCGACACTACGAGTCTTACGTCGGGGCTTGTGGTTGTTAAGAGCCCCAGGAGCCCTAAACCCTAAACCTTAAACCCTAAACCCTAGCAAGGGAAGGGCCTGCCTCGTCAGGAACATACCAAATGCAATCACCTGCGCCAGAGACTGAGCCAGTCCTGAATCAGGCTTAGCAATTTGGGGGTTTGGGTCTTAGGGTTTAGGGTTTTGGGTTTAGGGTTTAGGGGTTGAGGTTTTGAGCTTGGGTTACGGGTTGGGCTGACTCCTAAAACCTTAGCGGCTCCATAATGCCAAAATCACAATCCAGCCGTAGTCATCTAAGCGACTTCTTTCACGCACCTTGGCAGCGCAAACGAGTGGCACCTCACACGTTTATGCCTGAAACCTAATAAGCCCTAACACCGAGAATACCCCAAACCCTACTTCAAAGAGAGTTTGAGGCCGTTGGGTTCAGTTTCTGGTTCTCTTTGACACATCCCTACACTCCTGAACCTTGAAACTGCCCCGGGTTTAGGGTTTACGGTTTAGGGGACACAAAGGTTGCAGGAAGCAAGGCTCAGACTGACCGTGGTCGCACCCTTCTCGCAACGGAACTCAGCAAGGAACCCTCGACCCTAAACCCTAAGGGCCCTAAGCTGTGTACCCGAGGTCACAGTTGCATGTGGCTTCATCCAGATGGTGTCGACAGCCATTCCAGGTCCGCTCAGAACACAGGGCCTAGCTGATTCACAAAATTGCTCCGCAGGGCTCCTGATTTATCATTACTGTTGCTATTATTATGATATGTTGTAGTCACATTGTAGTCTGAAGCCTCGCTCTGATTATCAGGGCCCCGGTATTCGGTTTTTTCGGGGCCTTTCGGCAGACCTTTTCGAAGGATCTGAGCATAGAGATGTGCAGTGGATTCAAAGTTGGTTCATAGGGGCTCCTAAACCCTAAACGGGTTTAGGGTTGAGGGTTTAGGGTTTAGTGATTTAGGTTTTAGGGTTTAGGGCCCTAAACTCTAAACCGTGCCTATTTAGAGAGACAGACAATTCTAGGATCTAGGTTTTGCGGTGGGCCCTGTTCCCCTTTTTTGTGGTCTTAGGTTTCATATAAAAACCTACACAATAACAAAACCCTGAACCCTAAATCCCTAAAGCCCTAAACCCCAAACCCCGAAACCCTAAACCCTACCTAAACCCTAAACCCTGACCCCTAAATCCCTAACCCTAAACCCTACCTAAACCCTAAACCCTGACCCCTAAATCCCTAACCCTAAACCCTACCTAAACCCTGAACCGTATAAAAACGGGAGCCCTCTTCATCCCTAGGTTGATGGGGATCCTGGTCTGCGTGACTTGGGAAGGGGGGGGACCCTTTTGGGGATCTTTAGTCTAGGGTTTAGGGCTTAGGGTCTAGGGTTTAGGGTCTAGGGTTTAGGGTTTAGGTTTAAGGTCTAGGCTTTAGGGTTGAAGGTTCAGGGTTTAAGGTCTAGGGTCAAGGGTTTAGGGTTTAAGGTTTGGGGTTTAGGGTTTAGTCTGACCGGCTACAGAAAGGGTTCTGGGAATTGGGGTCAAGGGTTTAGGGTGAAGAATGATCAATATTATTCCTCAGGCCCCTACTATATTACGGTCCAGCATGCTGTTGACATGTAACGGATCCGGCTTTTTAGGTTTGTACCTGGAGGCATCTCGCCGAACATCTGCGTCTTTGCCACGTTTCTGGGACTGCTGGCGGACATTGCGGATGGATGCTTGTCTCATCAG